GTGATTGAATATCATACGGCACACCATCTGCAATGGCTAAAATTACATTTAATCAATTTCAAAATTAAATCGGCTAGATTTGAGTTACACGTAGCCTAGCTAGACTAAATCGGAGCTAAATATAGCCAATACATTTAACGACTATTGCTTGCTGGGTAGTAGTTAAACTGGGAGGTTGCCTCACATTTTAAGGGTCTTTGTGATTAATGTGAAATATTTTACAGTTTTTAGACTGCCTGAAATGAGTGAATGAAACAATCTCATGCTCTTTTTTTCACAGATTTATACTATCATACATATGCATGTATAAATTCTATTGAATGTCTGCACCTTCCAAGCCAACTAATTTTAAAACCTTTAAGTTCTGAGGACTTGAACCATGGGTGGGACACTTCTCCACATCATGGCAGTCTGCCTTAGTAAGCTTGTTGCACTCACTCAGCACTCACACTGCTGACTCAATGTAAAGTTAAAGTGTTGTGAAGATTTTCACATCTAGTGGAGTAGGTAAGATTTGAATACAGCATTATAGATAACATGCAACAGCCACAGGGCCAACCACACTTCCTTGCTGAGATAAAGATTATCTTCCGTAGTCAGACTAGCTCTGAGAAGCCATACGTGTATATTTCAGATTGAAATGGTGGTGTTAATAGTGCATCTGATTTTGAGATGCACAGTTTTAAGGCTAATTTGGGGAATTTAAATGACCTCACTATAGGGGCACATGAACTCGAAGTTGTTTCGAGATGATGTTACAGACCTCAGTCTTAATTCAGTAACTGGTGTTCAGGAGTAGCTCTACTGCCTCATAAGTTACAGATCTTAATCAGAATCTACACAGACTATACATGAAAGTCTCACAGTAATACCAGGTTGTGCAGGTTTTTGTAAGATGTATTAAGTTATGAAATCTGACTAAAACTGGAAAACTGGAGCGATGTATGAAAGGAGATGGCAAATAAATATACAAGTGCATAGTGAAGTTTATCTTTTAAACTCTGTGTGAACAATATTTAGTTAGTTTGGAAGTGTTTTAGGTTTTTAACTATGTGCAAGATGAATTTGCACCACTCAAATACAGGCACAATCACATTTAAGACTTCAATTTAGCATATGTTGTACTCACATGGTGCTTATGATTGATCATACTACTACAGACAGGAAGTGACTCACAAAACCTAAAGTCAGCATAGAAATACTGTATAGAAATCGGGGTCCACATGGGCTCATAAGCAGCTTAATCCAGCCAAGGCTCTGTGTGACTGAAGTGATCTGTCATCATGTCTGTAGTCAGCTGTTTACTGCACCAAATTACTAAAGATTTCAATTAAATGGTCATAGACAAGCAGGATGCAAACATGAAATGCAAGGTGATAAAACATCCACAGTGGGTAAGAGTCTTAACAGAGCTTTTCCAAAAAATGTCCTGTTTTAGTTTTTAAGCAAATCTCTTCTCGCCCGCTCAGCATCCAACACATGGAGTTCCTCATCTGTATACTTCGGCTCAAACAGGTATGGCTCTGGATCTGTGTCCGCTCCAAGAAACTCTTCAAAATCACGTTCCAAGTCATCCATTGCAGCTACTATAATCCAGAGATATATCGCTAGGCTAAATAAACAACTGAGTTTTGTTTACAGGCTACGTCTGTGCCTGTGCCTGCTCACCGGTGTATCCCTCCATGGATCACAGCGCAGGACGTACTGACCCCAATGCTAACCGCTGAGACCCAGCCACTGGACGTACAGACACAAAAAAAGATATCGATCATGTTGTCTCAATATGAAAATGATAGAGATAGGGCATAACTCCCAAATCGTCGGAGTATTCTTTTAAGAACTCATTCCTGGGCCACTATGGGCTTTTTGCAAACCCCCTCCTACACCATCTCCCTAACCTGTTTCACTCCGTTTCTGCATTAACACTGAGACCCCGTTTATACAACAATGATTTCAACTGAAAACGGTAACGGTAAAGACTTAATCAGTGAGAGAAAGAGAAGCTAGAATTTAAAAAAAAAAAAAAAGCAGGATTCATTGCTGGACGGACGACGTCACAGTGGCGTCATTCCATCCGCTTTCATCTTTTATGACATAAAATAAAATTAAATATATCCTTCTCTAGTCTGGTAAAAAAAATTGGAAACAATCGGTCGCCCATTAGCTCAGTGGGTCGAGCAGGCGTCCCATGTACAAAGGCAATGTCCTTCCTGCAGCAGCTGTGGGTCCAACTCCAGCCCGCTGCCCCCTGCTGCGTGCCACACCCTCACTCAATTAAAGGCGCAAAAACTTAAGAGGAAAAAAAGACACATTCATTTGATTGCAGTGCTATATAGACAAGAACTGTTAGAAAAGTCAAGCGGCTTAAACACATCATATTGAAAAGCCAAAAGTTGTTTAAGACACAGAGAAAAGAAATGCTACCAAATACATATGAAGAACATAAAATTGGATTAAGCTTTATTTTTCTCCATGGTTACGAAAAGTTAGGACAGTTCCTCTTTCTGCCACAGACATGGAAGTTTGTCTCAATACTTGCTGCTGTGTTTATCCCCTTCACTTTGATGAAGGGTGCTTCATTCAGCTGTGGAGGTGAGTAGGGTCTGGTTTTGGAAAGGCCCAATAGCAGTGCTCATCTCATGTTCTCTGGATCGTAGGAAGAAAAGACTTGATAAGCACTGCTGCTGCCATCTAGTGGATGAAAACACAAAGAAACTTGGAAGATATTAAACTGTTTATTATGACAAATTGATTTTAATCCAATGTAGGTTTTATTAATATTAACAACCTAGACATTGTTTTTGCTCTTATTCTTATGCCAGAGAACATTTATAGAGTTTATGATTTACTTGTGTGTGTTTTATACTGGATGTCCAAAGGCTATTGTGACGTTGCGCTAGGCTTTTTCGTTGCTGGTCATGTTGACCGACAGGATCATAAAAATCCGGTCATAATCTATTTTTACCGGTCATTTTAATTTTCGTTTTTAAATGATAATGAAGATATTCAAAGACATTTAGTTTTCATTCGTTCGTTTTTAATAAATCCAACAAGCAAGTTATAAAGTGTGTATTAATAAGGACATGAACGAAAAGTTGAACAGACATCCACACACCCGTGCCATTAGGCTTCGCCCTGGACACACCGGACGGTACTAAAGCCCTTTTCACACAGCGCGCGCAAAGCGCAGACCTCCGCCGACGAACCCATTCATTGTGTATGTGCTACCGCGGCGCAAGAGCGCACCGCTCTGCCGCCGAGCTGAGCGGCGCGTGAGAGGGCGCGTGCCAGCCTACACTGGAATTCAAAATGTTTTAATTTCACCGCAACGCGCTGTGACGACACCTCGTCATCTCCTGAACGAGCATGTACTCACCCAAATCCGGTCTTGCGCGCCTTGCTCTCCGCTTGCTCTGCGCCCTACCCCGCGGTGGGCGCCGCGAAAACCGCGCTCTGTGAGGCGTCATTAAGGGCCCATTTATGCACAACGTTAAATACGGATCCGGATACGGACGGAGCCTTCTGTCCGTGCTCCGCTTTCTTTTAGTCTGTATTTCTGCACCTTTCCATAAAGCCTAAGGCCCATTTAGGGCCCATTTATGTTCCCTTAACGTACGAAAATGTATACGTCCGTTTCAAACTATGTTACCGTCACTGCCCACATACTTCTATGCGCCCTTTAAGTTGGCATGGATGTTAACCAATATATCCACCAGGAGGCAGCCCAGCGTCAAAAGTTTATGACAACAACAAACTCAAAAACAAACATGGCGACTGTGGAGGAGATATTGATAATGTACCTCTTGCATAAAAGACAAAAAAAGAAGCAGCGTTGTAGGAGGCGGTGGTCGGTGAGGCCGTTAAATACATTGCGACTGGAGGACGGAGAGTTCTTTTCTCTAGTAGGCCTACTACCGATGAGAGAAACTGAATTGTTATTTCTTCTTCCTGTCTCACTAGAGCTACGTATCGAGTAGTGACAGCAACACTGCCCCCACAGTTCCCGGTGGTACTGCTCCGTTTGGCCCGTATCCATAAGCTTTATGGAAACGTGCAGAAATACGGACGAAATGAACGCGGAGCACGGACAGAAGGCTCCGTCCGTATCCGGATCCGTATTTAACAGTGAGCATAAAGGCCCATTTATGCTCTAGTGAGACAGGAAGAAGAAATAACAATTCAATTTCTCTCATCGGCAGTCTCTGAAACTCTGAAATTGTATCCGCCCATCTAAACACAAAGTCAGGGAGAAAGTCATCAGTCTTTAGTTAAGCAAAGCGTCTAAAGAATGACTTGTGAGTCTAGTTTATCATAGGAACATGAAAAAAAGTTTCAGTCACGCCAGGATTAGTGATTGCTTTAAAGTTTTCACTACTTGTGATGCACTCTCTGCGGCGGCTTTCCTCCTGACGATATATCTCCCCAACGATGGTAGCACCGAATCCCATTCTGTGCAGCAAAATGATTACATTTCCGTAGGCATACGTTGGCAAGCCCCGCAGCTACACCACCAGTCCTCCCCTGACCTCCGTCTCCCCTTGGCCCCTTGCTGCTCCGCCGCTTGGGAGGATGGTTAAAGGAAGGTTAAAGCTGTGCAGTTTGAAATCCCTTTAGTGCACATGTCTCCAGCTCCCCCCACTGTACAAAAATTTACGGTGTACATTTGATACATTTAAACGGAACTCCTTATTTTAAATTCAGTCTTATCTACATTTGCATTTTCTGTAATGTGAGTAAGAGCTATTCAGTGGTTTCTGTTACTTTCTGTCGGTAAAGCACGTGACCTATTAATGTTTACTGAAAAGGCGTTGAGAGTATTAACTTATATTTGTGTAATAATTAAATTTATGGTAAAAAGTAAATCGTCTTTAGCTGAGTTGCTCGTTAGTGTACGCGCAAATTGCGTGCTGGACATTAGTGCACGAAAAAACAGGAAATTGAATAAACTCAGTGACGTCATTGGTGAGCGCCTCTGCTGGCCTTCAAAATGGGCTCGACTCCTTAGCCTTGATTTCTTCAATTGTCCCTCCGCATATCAAGTTTTTATGAAGAAAAGCCTGTTCGCGATGACATTTGGAGGTACGTCCACGCAACGAGACAGAGCAGAGACATGTTTGATGAGCGCTGCCATGTTAGTTGTGAGCAGATGTGAGAGCAGCAGGACTGGACTCAGTTCATGCAGCTAGCTGTAGCTGTGTTAGCCGTGAGGCTAATTAGCCGGAACCTTTGGGCTGGTGCCCAGTGGGAAATTATAGTGATAAGAAAATTTTCTCAAGTAACATAATCTATCACGTGAAGTCACCATCTGCGTTTAGTGTTAGTGTACAAAGTGTCACGCTGTCTTTTGTCTGTGTTTACGGAGAAACGGTGACTCCAAGTTGCTAGCTAAGTTTAGCCAAGTCAGCCACTAAGCTAGCTAACGGTAAACACAGTAACTCTGAGGTGAAGTGCAGCGCTAACAGGAGGAAAACTCTGGTCTGTAATTAAATATACAAAGCAAAGGTTTCCTATTTAGTGCTGGTCATGGGGTGGTTTCAGGAAGCAGTTTTATCTGGTTACTGGTCAACTGTGATGACTCAAACCAGGAACCCACTCGAGTCTGAATCATGAACTGATGTAAGTAAAAAAAAAGCTGCTTCAAGTTAAATTTATAATGAATAAGGAAACCTGCTTCTTACAACACAGTCCAAGAGCTTAACTCAAGATTAATCCACGTTTCTGTTTACCTCTGTTTAATCAGATAGGACTTTAAACCTCCACCTTAACTCTCTGTAGTGGATAAACAGAAAAAGACTTGGTGGATTAGTCATAGCTAGAGCACCTTTTTTAATTTTTACAGTAGAATTAAATTAATGTAAGGCTGGCTATTATATGAATATAATAATGAAGTACTTAACAATAAAAAACAGAACACATTTAAAAGCACAGAGAGAATGAAATGAACTGAGAGCCAAACACTAGGTGCATACTAAAAACAGGGTAACATTAATTATAAAACATAATATATGCTCAGGCAGGTCACGCCAAAGTCTAGGAGCTCTGACTGCAAATGCTCTATCACCTTTGTGAATAAATCTGGACTTGGGAACGTCAAGGAGTGACAAATCTGAGGATCTCAGTGTGTGAGAAGGGACATAGGGCAACAACAGATCAGATAACTAACTTGGAGTGAGGTCTCTCAGGGCTTTGTAAGTAATCAATAATACCTTAAAATCTGTTCTAAAAGCAACAGGTAGCCTGTGTAAGGACGCCAGGATCGGTGAAATGTGGTTGTTTCCTAGCCCAATTATATCCATATTCTAATATGAGACTAGATATTGTCTGTGATTTTGGATGTCGTAATTTTGGAGGGGAAGTGTTCTCTTTTCTACTGGGTTAAACAGCTGCATCACAGTAAAGTGATGTAATTTCTGAACATACCAGACTGTTCTTGCTGCTCTATTACTTGCCTTTAACCACTTAGTCATTATATCCGCGTAACCAGGATCATTATTTGAAGCTCTCATTGTGTAAATATTTTGTGGAAGCACCAGTTGGCAACCCTATTATATTGTTGCAATATTAATATTGAGGTATTTGGGGGCGTCGGTGGCTTAGTGGATAGAGCAGGCGCCCCATATACAAGGCTGTTGCCGCAGCGGCCCGGGTTCGACTCCAGCCTGTGGCCCTTTGCTGCATGTCACTCCCTCTCTCTCTCCCCCTTTCACACTTGTCTGTCCTATCCTTTAAAAGGCAAAAAATGCCCCAAAGAAATATTTAAAAAAAAATATTGAGGTATTTGGTTAAAAATATCATGATATTTTTCTCCATATTGTCCAGCCGTAATGTAGTTACAGCAGTAGTCTGAAATTATTTTGTTAGGGTGCAGTATTTGTAGATCTACATGTGTGAGTTCAGCTAAACTAAAATGCAGTTGACTTGTACTTACTAATTTACCCTCTTGCATTGTGTGAGGAAAAGGAGACCTGAGCTTGTCACTATTGCAAATATTTGATCATTCACATGTTGGGGGCTTATAAAGCATGTGGGAAAGGCCCACGGTGTTTGAACATACAGTGGGTGAGTCATTGAAACTCGTGCTCTCTGAGTTCAAACTCACAAAATTTGATTTTAAATCCTCATCAAGATTCCAAAGTTATCAAATATATCTGATTTGGCTGTGCTTTGCTTTTGAATGCTGAATTTAGAGTAAATGATGCTCAAGACATCTAGAAAATTTCCATTTGGTGAAATAGTACAGCCAGAAAACATCCAAAATATTCAAATATGTTTTCATTATAACTGCTTTATGGAGTTCACAGCTTTATAGGCAGTTGTTCTGACATGGCGTGCACTAAGGTGCATGTAGTCTTTTCACACTCAGCAACATGTGTACATGTGAGCCATCATTTCAAACCATCAAACAGCCCAAAAGCAGAGCAGTAAAAAGGACTCACACTTATTCAACAGAATGAGTATCCATGGTGATGTATCTCGGCTTATATCTCGAGCAGGTGAACTTCGTGTTGAGCCACTGTAGTGGTTTATTTTTCAAATACGCTCTGTCAAAGAGACCAGTAACAACATGCTCTAACACTTACTGTCTCTGCACTTATATAGATGGCTGTGGCTGCACCAGTAATACTTTCCATCTGTGATTCAGCATAACCGAACACAATCTGTCAAAGACCATAAATATTTCTCTCACAAACCTGAAACTTTTCGTTTTCATCTAGTTTGACATTTATGTATATTAGTCATTTTGCACAGACATCATTAGGCAGTATGCAACCTGGGGAAAGATTCAAAATGTGCCTATAGATCTTTTGTTGTTTGTTCTTTGTTTCAGGTGAACTGGCAGACAAAGTCAGCCAGGTGATTTCAGAACTGGTTCCTGTGCGGGCTGACTTGCTTGCAAGATTCCGTTCCTGTGCAGTACAGTAAAGCTACTCGCTTGGTCAGAGGATTGCAATGAAACCTGCTCAGGAACGCAACCAGGAGTGCCTGCCTCCTAAGAAGAGGGACCTCCTAGTTAGTAACAGCAGTGGAGCTGGAGGGACAGGAGGAGTTGGGGCTGCAGGAGGAGGTGGTGGCAACAGTGGAGGTGGCAATAGTGCTGGTAGTGGTATTGGAGAAGATGAAGTGGTTTCCATCCAGAACTCCGCAGCCAACAGTGACACTCAGGGAGGGACCCCATCTGGAGAGTGGCTGCGGACTCAGCCAGGGCTTCATTATGGAGTGGATAATTCTGATGGCATACCAGCAGTGCCAGTTGACCAGTACAGTATGCTCTATAAAGTGGCTCTTCCATCTGTTACCTACTCGCCTACCAGTCTTCACCCAGTGTTAGGCCACCTCTCGTCAGGCTACACTGTACACTCTCCTCTCCTGCAGCATCCAGGCCTTCCCTATCCTCCTCTTGGTTATGCCCAGATCCCTCATTCCTCTCTCCAGTTTGTTAGTTCTCCTTATGCAGCTGTACCTTACGCTCTGCCCCCTGGCTTTGTCCCGGGATCATTAATTTCTCCCTCAGGCACCATTCCTCAGCCCCATGCTGTGTCCCACCTTGTTCCCTATCCATCTGTCATACAGGAAGGTGTTGTTTCTCCACCTCCCCAGGCCCAGGTAGCTGCTCATACCTTTGCCAAAGTTGCGGCATCAAGCGGTGTCCCGCTGATGCTGCCTTCAGAGCAAGCTGCCCAGCAGCACCTTGGTACTGTAGGAGTCCTGCCCGCAGCAGAGCTCAGCTCTCGAGGGTTGCCAGTCTTCTATCACCCTCAGGGCGCCAGGGCTGCCACTGCCACCAGAGACCCTCACAGTGCCCAGCAGGAAAATGAACCAGAGATGAATGGAGGCGATAAAGAGCAGGGAGCCAGGGAGGTTGTGCTCGACTACACTGCCAGAAATGCAAGTCTGCTGCAGGTAGCATCCAACTCTGCGGTCCAGGAGTACAGCCAAGACAGAGGCCCGATGAACCGAAGGCTGGAAGAGAGGAGCTCACCTGGCCAGCGCAGCACTCCAGACAGTGACCTGGAGGTAAGACACACTGATGGCCTCATAATGTGACTCCTGTTAATCTTTATTACCATAGTCCCAACGTTTAGCAGTAAACAAGTGATAGAAGCATGTAAATATAAATCCCTTTTACAAGGTAAGGGCTTCAGAATAACCTGATTAATACTTGATTAAATCTGTTAGATTTTCAAATGCATTATAAAGGAGTAATAAAAGTTCTTGATGGAAAAACTAGATTAATTGTTCATTTATACCCTTAATTTAATTTGTTAAAAGCTGTTCAAGTCTGCACATGTGAATGAAAATATCCCTCATAAGGAGAAAAACTGTCAAGTGATACAAAGAATATCATAATCGTTAATCGTGGCATGGACCAGCATGATCCAAAGGCAACATTTTTTAAACAATCATCATGTTGATTTAGGAATAATAGAATATCTTTATAACCTTGATATAGACAGAAACATGTCAGCATGATGAACAATAACACTAAAATGAACTACTATCATACACTTTTTTCAAATGTAGTGTGGTGTTATTATAATCTGATCAATGAATCATTTCATAGAGATATAAGTAGCTTACATTATTATAAAATATGAGTATGTCTGCATCTCAACTGTACACCAGGGTTGGAAATTAGCACCAGCCATCAGCCAAATGCTGGTAAAATATGCAAGTGTCTGCTTCACTCACCAGCCAAAAAAAGCCATGGTAATCTATTGAATGGCTGGTAGATTTCTGAATCCAGCCAGCAACAGTGGCAGGCGGACAAAAAGTTAATTCCCAACCCTGCTGTACACCCTCTTACCTCATGTAAGACTCAATTGCAGGTGTTAATTTTAAACTCAACTTCCTTCCTTCCTTTATTGTGTGCTGCGGGTCCGCAGGTAATTGAGCAATCACTCACAGCCACAATTGCCACTTTGTACCAGAGCTATGTTATTTGTGGTTGCTTGGAGATGCTCAGCGAAGCCCTCACTACCTCTTTTGTGATGGTCTGCAGAGGAAGGAAGAATGTTGGTTCCAATAAGTAGAAAAGTTTCAGGCCTTGTAAAAGTGCTGTATGTAACTCTGGAGAAAGATATATTATTGTTGAGACTTAGTCCCAGGTCATCAAACATAGACGCAGTCTCTTTCCCAGGTAGTAAAATTCCGACACTTTGGGTTGGCAGGTTGGTCCGACTACCAACTTAAGCTAGTGATGGGCAAAAATGAACGAATGAATCTTTTTAAATTACTTAAATGTCCATTATGTACCAGGTCTGCCTGTCGAATGTCAGAGTGTTCATGAATCCCCGACTTTTCCCACTCACTATTTCTGTAGGGTACTGCTCATGCTGCCTGCTATGGTGAGTGAATTAGATGCGATTGCCTGGCAGCTACACACATTGATAGAGAGCGAATGAACCATTCTCTCTCGGTGGGACGTATTCTGCTTGCCCTGGAAGAAAGACAGATGATGCAGTCAAATCATATTACTGTAACATATGTTGGGCCACATGGCCTACCTGCATACAAGCATTGGCTCATTACTTAGAAAATGCAATACATATAACATACATAGCTTAGCAAAAGTTAGATGTTTTACTGTACACCTCAAAAACGCTGTTTTGTAACATTATATTCCATAAATAGCATTAGAGCTGTCAGCTTGCCACTTAAACAGTCCGCTACGATGGCATGTTGTCTCTTGAAAAATAATGACTGTAGTTGGAGGACGACACGAACAAACCAAGAGCCTAATGTTCGACACCGCCTGCGTTTTGTTCTTGTTTTTTCCCTGCTGTAGACACTGGTACAATCCTGGGCTGTGAACCATTGTAGTTCACTGCAGTGCAAGCCATTCTAGTTCAACAGGCCGACTTAGATTGGAGGATTTTAAAAAGTGTATACAGTTGCAAAAGCCTTCTTTATAGAAATAGCAAACAACAAACTATAAACTGTAATAACAACCCAAAAAAAACAGAAGTGTAGGCCAGTAATAATTAAGTAAATAAAAGCAAGGCTAATGGTGTATTCACGTGCTCCTCAGATAGTTGTTCCTCTGACTTCAGAGTGCTAATGAAGTTTAAGTTGTTATGTGAAAACAACATGGACGCTACAAAGAAGATATGTTAATGTTGTATTTTATTGCTCAGAGCGTTTAAACATGTTGATAACGAAGAGCAAAGGAAACCGATCAGGGGAGCCATGAAATATGATCATTTTTCACATGACCACATGAATGTAGCACAAGACTGCTGAGGTAGCTGGGTCTGCTACTTGGCCCTCAAAGAACAACAGGTCGTTGGTCAGTGACATTCCTGTAACAAAACTCAAAAGGTTCAAAATGTCAGATACATTTACATTTATCAATTCGAAGGAACCAAAACTGTAAGAAAAATCTGTCCACCCATCACTACCTAAAGTGTCGGAATTTGTCAGCCAGAGAATGAGATTCAAAAATCAACTGTCTTTCTCCAGAGTTACACACAGCAACTTAATGGCTAAATGGTAACTTATTTGAATCAACCAAAAGTGGAGAAATGCTATAAAGGCCATTATGAATAGCTGCAGACTATGGTTTACATATGGGAGCCTCCTTTTAAGTCACAAAAACATTTCTGTTGTCCTCCTGTCTGGTGGTTAAGTTGATGAGAAGAACGATGTTGAGTCATGCATCATTAGAAATGGTGTGTTGGAGGGAGTGACTGATGAGATGCTTAAATGTATTTACTGACCCACATGAATATTTCATACTCACATGTTGTAATTTAAGTTGGGTGGATTGTTGAAAGTTGTGTCACAAGCTGTTTTTGAATTACGCATGTGTGTTTAAAAGTTACCTAAACAACACTTTATTCCTTTAATACTTCCAGGTGCAGCAGGTGGTTGGTCGTTTGGCTTCTTCTGGCCAAGGTGGAGTGCGGAAAGAGGTCTCCTTTGCTCCCTTGAACCTCTCTCAGGGTGCCCAGAGAGCCAGAGATGTCCACGGAGAGAGCACAGGCGTGGTTTCAGGCCGGACTACGTACACAACCCAGACTGCGTGTTACACTGATCCCAGAGTGGCCAGTCTCCAGCAGCAAACGGGACAACCAGGACATGCTGTCATGCTTGCCAACGGGCAACCAGTTCTCATTCCCTTGGAGTATCACTTGCAGCATCAGGCCCAGCAGCCGCAGCAACACTACCCAGGACAGGCTAATGATGCCTCAGCCAGCCATGCCTCTACCACCATGGCCTCTCCTAACCCAAGCTTTAAAGCCTCTGATTCTTCAGCCAGAGTGTGCCTCCTTGAAAGGGCGGAGCCGACCACAGCGCAGCAGCAGCTCCCCCAGCAGCCTCTTGTCCAGCCTACAGCAGATGCGACTCAGGCCTTAGCTTCAAGCCTCGCTCCTGCCTCGGCTCCCTGCAACCCATCACACTTCATGAAGGGAGCCATCATCCAGCTGGCTACTGGGGAACTGAAGCGTGTCGAGGACCTGCAGACTCAGGACTTTGTGCGCAGCGCCGAGGTGAGTGGGGGTCTTAAGATTGACTCCAGCATGGTGGTGGACATCCGTGCCAGCCAGCAGAGACCGGGTCTTGTGTCGCTTCACTTTACTGTGGGGGAGCAGCAGAGCAAAGTGACCATCGACGTGCCTCCGGAGCACCCCTTTTTTGTGTTCGGGCAGGGCTGGTCGTCCTGCAGCCCCGAGCGCACAGCCCAGCTCTACGGCTTGGCCTGCCATCATCTGCAAGCGGGAGACGTGTGTGTGTCCATCACCCTGCAGCAGCAGCTTCAGCCGCAGCAGCAGAAACAACCACAGCACCATCCTTCACAACAGCAACAACAGCAGCAGAACCTGTCCAGGACTTTGAGCAAAACCAACGCCACATCAGGACCCGGTCACCAGCTCATGGGGCCTCCTGCCCCTCAGCAGTCACGACCTCCTTCTCATTTCAGGCTTGACCGCATCCACAGAGAAAGACAGAGGGATGGGGAGAAAGATGCAGCTGACAAGGAGGAAGCCACACATTTTGGAGTTGTTGGGCACTCTGAGTCGCCCATCAGACCAAGTAGGACCTTAGCAGAGCATCCAAGGAGCCAGAGCAGTTACCACTTGCACACAGAGGGCTCTGCTTTCACAGGGGCAGGGATGGGAGCAATGCAGGCTGCGCTAGGTGCATCTCAGAGGCGCTGGTCCTCACCTGGCCTCCAAAGACACAGTATGAAGGGAGACGAAGGGCCACGCCCTCATATAAGCACCTCCAGCCACACGAGGCCCTCTTTCATCCCCCAGGAGGTCAAACTGTCCATTGAGGGGCGCTCTAATGCAGGGAAGTAGCATCACATTTGGTAGCAACTATTAAAAGAGACTGCCACGAGTAAGAATGAGTCTGACAAGGAGAGAAAGAGGGAAAAAAAAGAGTGCGAATGTAGCCTCAGAATGTTTGAGATTTTGCACACCTGAAAATATACAAAAATACAAGATATTTGTCTATCTGGTGAGAAGTTCCGGTTTGGTTCAGTTGTCACTCAGCCAAAGGATACGAGCCTGTGGTTTCCCGGCCAGCTGAGGTCTGACAGGGACATTACAAGCTGAGTAGAAAGTATGTAGCGGATGAAAATGCCTACCATAGTCCTTGCACACTGCATTACTCTTCCTCCCTCCCTCCTCTGTCGCCACTCCTGCATACCCATGCTTGGAGGTTACCATCGCATTTAGAACACTCTTGCTTCCTTTTTGACCAAACCGTCTCTTCGGGAGACCAAGGACTACGAAGAATGTGTTTGTAGCGCAGTGAAGCTACCAACTCTGCAGGTTTTGATGTATTTAAAAGATCACAGCCAGTGATCTTTTATCTCCTTCATTCCTAAGATCCTGTTTCCTTCAAAAGCATTTACCCAAAAAAAGAAAAAAAAAAAAGTTGCTGACACAAGCAGCTCCTGCGGTGATGTTGGCACTGTTGACGCTAACTGTCAGTGTATGTTACATTATGCTTCTCCGGCAGGGGACTGAAACCTCTGCTGTCAGCTGAGATACTCTCTCCCCTCTCCTTCCTTTTCAGGAAGCCGGTCTGCAAAGAATGGGATCCTCTCTCAGGCCAAGTGTGGCGAGTCCCACTTGTCTTACAATCGAAATAGTGATAAATCAATCAGTGTGTCTGTTCAGCAATCAGTTTCCATTTAAAAAAAAAAAAACATCTGCCCATGCCCTCTGGTTTGGGCTCTAACGTGTGAGTGTGTTTGCATAAATGCCGCAGATTGGAATAATGCTTTGTTCTCTGTGATAACTAGAGATGTGTTGCATTCCAGTATCATCAGTGAGAATATCCATCACTTAGTGTTTAACTCTTTCTCCTTAGAGAAATCACTTCCCATCCTGAGCAACACCTTCCCTCCTCTTCGCTATACCTCAAAGCTTTCCCGACCAGACTGGTGACTTTTAATGCAATTTTAAAAGCCGTAATTAACGGAGGAGGCACTGGCTGGTCATCACCAAAGCCACTTATGGGAATGAGACATTACCCTGTCACATCACTGGCTGCAGGGCCACTTTAAACCCCACGAAGAGCGGAAAGGCCTTGCAGTTCGCCTTGTAGAGAGAAACCCTGCGTGCGAGTGAGTCAGTGACGAGGTTTTTCTTTTGTCCTAGTTATTTTTTGCTCGGTTCCCAAATTAAAGCAATAGTTCTTTTTACAGCACGTGGCTTTACTGCTGTCCCCCAGGAATCTCTCGCCGCGGGCTGTTTTATGTCTCTGTACATCTGAGGTGTGAGATCTGACCCTCTTTTAACCCTGACCTTTACAGGCGATGCACTATGTTGGTGTTTATTTTCATTGATTCTTCAGTATTTCTACACAAGCAATGCATGACAAATGTCTCAAGAAATCGTTGTAGATGAAACCGCTTCTGTTTGATTCTCCATCTCACTGATGATATTTTATCTTTTACTCAAGTGCATCTCCAAGGAAGGCTTGACTCTAATTAAGTTGTGATCATTATTGAGTTATCTTCTGTTCTGTCTTTTGTTTTAACCCACCCGGTCCTTCGCTTTTGTTACTAGGGTATGGATCTTATGATTGTCTTGTGTTGCACATGTCACTCATTGATTTCACACTGACCTTGTTTATAGGAATCACAGTACAGTAGGTGTTTTTTTAATGAAGGGAAAATGTTTGAAGTATTGTTGTTGGTGTTTTGTGGTGAGAGAGAGAGAAAAAACTGACTTGCATTTTTAACTCTGTTTACAAATTTAGCCAAGATGAATGCTGCAGTTTCCTCCTTCGGACAGATTTTTATCCTTGTCACTGAAAAAACAAAAAAATATCCAAAAGGATGAAATTGAAATTAAGTGCAATTAGACCACACATAAAATCATTCAGAGGTTTATAATCAGACGGCATTCCTCAAGCAGACATTCCCATTGAAACGTGTAAATCCCACTTCTTTTATTTCTGTCATAGAGCTTTGGACTTAAACATTTGATCACTTTTAAGTATTTCTTTCATTACCTGTTATATCATCGTTCATTAGATGTGCTCAGACAGGAGGATCAGTTTGTTACATGTTTTTGTGTCTGACTGTTGGTGCAGCCACAGACACCGCTGTGTGTCCTCTTAGATCTCTTAATGTCTCATGGTTCACTCAGTGTATAGCCTGACCCTCCGTCAGCTGGTGGAGGGAGACAGAGTGACCTGAGCTGGGCATAGTACACTTTCATTCTCTGGTCATTACAAGCAGCTTTAAAGGAAAGGTTCACATTTTTTCAAGTTTGTCTCAGACCTCCTCTAGAGAAATCAAGCTTCAACCTTGTTAACATGTCCATGTGGTGCTTTTATATGCTACAAGACATATCATGAGTGAAATAAGCAGTCGACACCATGGCAGAGCTTGTACCCCTTGGACCTGCAGTGTAGCATTAGGCCCGTTTCCACTGAAGAAGTTCCTGGTACTATTTGCGGGGCAGGAACTACTACAGGAACGTCCTCTCACTCAGCCCTCTCAACCGCCGTGTCTCCACTGAGAGAGCGGAGTAGGAGGAAGGTTCCTGTAAAGTTACCGGGCTCTGGATGTGATGTAATCATTGCGCGACCATTTTGACCNAATCGTTGCGCGACCATTTTGACCGGGGCATCATAGTGGTGTAGGGACGCTGTTAGCTGTTAGTCGATAGCAGTGTCTGTAATAACTCACTAAACTCACAAAGTGGTCCATGAAAAAAATATTTTTTTCCAGCGGATGTCTTAGTTACAACATGATTGAGCTAACTGGAGTAGTTTCATGTCATTTCCGACAACGGGAGGCTTTTAACAGATGATGTCCTGATGTTAGCTTTGCTGCTGCTGTTAGCTGTCCCTGTCAGCTGCAGCCACTGATGCTTTCTAGACATCGTGATTTCCCAAAACTGAATAAATACCACACATAGCAACACAAAACTGCTTTGCTAGCTCAATCATGTTGTAACTAAGATATCCGCCGGAAAAAATATGTTTTTCATGGACTGGTTATTGAGTTTGTTTACATGGCGGTGGAAGCTATGAACAAGCTAACCCTCGTCTGCGGGTGATGCTATGATGGGTGAAACTCACGGGAAACTGCTTTGATTGGTCAAATTAGCAAAAAGGTTGAAGTGATTGGAGAAAGGTCGTGCAGAATTCATGGCGATCTGTTGAATTTGCATTAATTGTTGCGATCGCAGCATCATAAAAGGGCCTCTTAATGACCAGTATGTACATGAGGAATGATTACACTGACTAATAACTGTTTCAATGTACATACAAAGTTGGATTGTTTCAAGATGGACTTGGAAAAATGTGAACCTGTCCTTTAAAACGCTTTGTAATTGGAGATTCAAGATCTCCAAGAACACATCTTACCATCTGAAGCTCACCACATGGAGTCTTTCTCATGCTGTAAGCAATATACATAATATACCTGAAAACATTTCATGTAGTCTTGGCATTTTCTATGCAGTTTACTCAGTATTGTACCCTTCATTGTCTTAAGTACAGCTCTCTGAAGCAGTAGGGCAGGTTGGGCTGATGCAGTCATTTTGCGCTGATGTCTGGTTGTAGGATTTTTGCTTTAAATGACTTTTTTATAGGAATACAAACCAGTATTTTGCTTTTCTACTTTCTATTTTTTTGCTTGGTGGTCTCCATCTTCCTCTGTATAGCACACTGCTGACCCACAGATCAGTAAACTTTTGTTGTCTTCTCACAATGCCACACAGTCGGAGCCAAATCACTTGAGAAGAGTGTCTCATATTTCCACGTGTTTGTCCAGCATTATTTCGGCTCCATCGCCAAGCCACTTCGACATTGTATTTTAGGTCAAGATGCATTTGATGGGATTTAAACGGTGCAAGCAGTGACACTTGTGACTTTACCTCCTGTTGATTCTCACAGCAAGACCATCCTGTGCTACCACGAGCCTTTTTTGTTTTTTTGCCCTCTGCTCTGAGCAGTGTGTGCCATGTCAAGCAGGAAAGCTCCACTTCTACAAAGATGTCCGACGAATCTTATTCACATCACTGATAGTCTGTTGCTGTAACTAATTGCACTAAATGCCCTCCTTTTACAGTGTTTTGAACTTAAAACTGTTGGTAAATTGAAGAGTTTCAAAATGTAAAGCACACAAAATCATGGAGAAATTGCAGGTTGTGTGTTTCTGTAGATAGGTGTATTTCTTTTGTATAGATAGCTTTGATGATGCTTGTCGATAATGCCTTAAAATCTGCTTTGTACAATGTGTGAAATTTGAAATAATGGAATAATGCTTCTGGTCGACTTGGTGTTCCCCTTTTCAGGCTGAACAAGAGCAAATCAGAAATGTCAAGCTTTGAAACTCTTGTCACGCTTATGAGCAGAAATTCATATTCTCAAAGGGTGACGGTGAATTCTTTTTGGGCCCCAGACGGTTCAGCTATGAAATCTGCAACTTTGTGTTTGTGTGGTGCTTTGTTTTTAGTTGGTTTTTTTTTCATTATCTATTCCGTTACGTTTTTAATACACTCTTTACGCCCATACTTATCTTTTAATTCCTTTTTTTTCCCCAATGTGTGGAGGTGAAGTGAATGGAATCTCTTCTTTGCACTTTTTACAAGACGATGCCAAGAGTGTCCGCAGCGGAGGGCGATCCATTAATTCCACACGCACACATCCGTTGTTTTTATTATTTTTGCACAAGATGAGTTGTTTTTTTATCCTTAGACTTAATGGGTTGTGTTTGGCGTCTTGTGCTTTGTCCCAGTCTCTGGACGACAGTTTTGAGTAAATGGAGACAGACAGACAGACAGACAGACAAGCTGCATTAATCCGATAGCTTTCCATTGGTGGTAATGTGATGGTTGATGTTTTGTGACGTTGGCAGTGGGGATTCTTTTACTCCCCGTGTGAACTATTTCCTGTCGTTTGATCCCGTATTGAACTACAAAGGTGAAATTAGGACGATTTCGGTGTCAATGTCCAGTTAAATCAGGAGAAACGAGAACGGTTAAAAGTTTTAAAGGAGTCTGTGTATTTTCAGATTTGACATTGTACTTTTATGGCACAAGGTGACACTGCTTTTTATGTGATGTGCAACTATCGAAAAACGAAACAAAAAAAATAGCTTTTTTTTTTTTTTTTTTTAAACATGCCTAAATCTGCAAAATATATGCAATGATGTAAATGTAACATTCAATCCTCAAGTATAATCCAGGTTGTATGAACTTTGTATAGTGAGTTTTAATATTGTATGGCCGTACCAATATGTATTGATCTTTATCAGAAGCCTTAGAGTTGTCGACCGAAAGTGCTCCCTTAGAATACCCTACACCTACCTGACTTTAACAAAGCATTAATATCTCTATTTTGTTGCATTTTTATTTGTACCGTTTTTGAATAAAATAGATTTGTACTGTATATTTGTACCTCTCTGTGAACTACTTAGGGCGGTTTTTGTTTTTTTGTTTTGCTGTTTTAATTCTATGTACTTTAAGGACACAAAGATATTGTATTTTTATTGTTACAGCTAACTTGGAGACATTGCATTTATCATGTTTGTTAAGTAAACACAATATATATATATATATATATACAAATATAAATATAAACTATTATCCAACCTGTGTGCTGTGTGTCTTTGGTCGTATTTATGCACTTACTTCACTGTGTTAGTGGTGAAAGAAGTATTGAGATCTTTTACTAAAGTGAATG